AAAGATTTATTCGTCCTTTGTTGCTCTTGGAAATGCAGTCAATACTATTATAAAGGAGACTGAGAAGTCCCTGGATCTGCTGTCTGCAAGCTGGAGAAACAGAACCTAGGCATAATATTCTTAAACATAGTATCAGTAGGACAGATATTTCATCAAAAAGGCTATGAACGTGGCAGATAATCACATGAGTGTGTGTGTGTGTGTGTGTGTATACATAAAGGTTTGAGAGATTTTTGTCAAAATTCAGATAAGTATGACTGCTCTTGCTGTTAAATTAGAAGATATTATTTAAGTAGACACCAAATTAGGAATGCTTCTTTTACTCCTAAGGATCAGAATTTTTATACCCTATATTTTATTCATTTTTTAAAAAGTTTCTCAAAGTTACAAAACTAAGTTAAAACAGAGCCTTGGTGTACTAAAATAGAGCTCGCAACCAGGGACTTTTGCTTGTTGCTTCCATTCCTAGGATAAATCTGCACTATAATAAATATCTTCAAATGCCAGCATCTCAGCTCAGAATTGTGGCTCCTAAAAGTGTTTAGAAGCATACAGTTAGGATTTCTTCTACTCTTTTTTAAACATGACACCAATAGGACAATCCTTAAAGGAAAACAAATAATATATTGGACTTCATCAATATTTAAAAATGTGTTATTTGAAAGGTACTCTTAAGAAAATGAAAAGATAAGCTACATATTAGGGAAAATATTTCAATTACATATCCAATACAGGTCTTATATTAAATAATTATGAAGAGCTCTCAAAACTTCACATGATGGAGGCAAACCACCCAATTAAAAAATGGCCTACCTATTTGAATAGATGTTTCAACAAAGAGGATATGAATATCGCAGATAATCAGATGAAAATTCAGTCAACATAATTTACTATAAGGAAAATGCAAATTAAAAGCACAATCTGGGGAGGTTTTAGAATAACTGGAACTATCAAATGTTTCTGGTGAGAGTACAGAATGGGACAGCCATGCTGGAAAAAAGTTTGGCCATTTCATATAATCATACATGTATCATGTGACCCAGTGATCTCACAGCCTACAGAAAAGAAAACATATTGAAACAAAGCTTGCACATAAATGCTTATAGTAGCTCTGTTTGTGAAAACTGGAACCGACCCAAATATCTTTCAATAGATAAATGGGTAAACATGCTATTATATATCCATTTGTTGGGATACTGTTCAGCATTAAATAGGAGAGGGCACAAAAGTTGGATGAATCTCAATCATTACACTGAGTAAATGAAGTCAGTCTCAAAAGGCTGCATTCTATATGATTCCTTTTAGATGACATTCTCAAAAAGATTAAATTACAATGATGGAAAACAGATCAGTGGGGAAGGTTGCAACTACTAAAAGCACAAGGGAGTTTTGTGGTGATGGACCAGTTCTGCATCCCGATTTCAGTACTATGATTGCAGGATCCACACGTTAAAATTCATGGGATTCGTTAGATTTCAATAGAATTGTACACCCAAATCAACTCTCTCGCTACTTTAAAATTAACAATAAAATGAAATTTAAAAATTGTGAGTTCTTTCTTTTGATAATCGCTTGCAGAAATGTATGAATCCATTACTCTAGATATTCTAGCTTTAAAATCTGAATCAGTAATGAACAGGGAAAGATTCTTTTGTAGGCATTCTTGTTATGTTCAGACCTTAGTTTTAGAAATGCTACAATGTACAGCTTTATAAAACTCATTAACGAGGTTGCACTCATCAATTTTTCTGTTGATATTTTGAAGTTACTGTCCACAATATCATCTCTCTGTGCAATGCAATTTTTTTTTAAAGGCCTACTAGTCTTGTGCTATCCCGCTTTCAGTTTGGCTCCCAGTGGCCTATGTGGCCAATAGAATATGATGGAAGCAGTGGTGTATTACTTAAACGACTAGGTCATATAGATGTTGCAGCTTCCCCGCCACTTCTAATTTTTGGATCACTTGCTCTGGGAGAAGGCAGATTTCCTGCCATGAGTACACTCAGGTGGTGTCATGGAGGGGAGCCAATTTGCCAGCACCAGCTTGTCATCTATACCATTCACATGTCACCCATGTGAATAAGACACTTAGGAATTGGATTCTCCAACCCCAAGCAAATCATCAAATGACTGTAGCCCAAGCCAACAAGTTGACTGCAACCTCCTGAGAGATCAGGAGCTAGATCTGCCCTAACAATACACCTAATGAGGTTCATGGTACATAAATTGGTAAGAAAGAAGAGAGGAAATAAAGGAAGGCGAATTAATATTGAGAAGATGTTGGTTGCGTCAATAGATTGTAGGTCTTTGTCAGGATGAGGAATTGATGAAGTGGGAGGTGGTGGACAGAGTAAGACTCCTGAAGTGGAGTTTTCAACAGTAGTGAATATATGAGAGCTGACAAGCCAACGGTGTGTTCATAAGAATCTATAACTAACTTGGGGCAGAGAAACAGCTCACTGGAGTCAGGCAGACCAAGAAAGTGAGAGGATGGATTATGGATGTAGTTCAACCAATCACGAATCATTATACCTAAAGTGGGTGTGTGTTTGTTTTTCGGTTTGTTCTTTTGTTTGTGTAATTATTTGTTTCTAAATGACAGTCTTATTCTTACCCAATTAAAAAGACTGAGAGGAATTGAAGATGGTCATTAATAAGAGGAAGGTGAATTTGTGTATGAAGCAAATAAGAACATGGAATGAAAATACAAGTGGAGCAGTAATTTTTCATTGATGTCTGGATTGCAGCTATTTTGAGAAAGGCTTTTATATGCCAAAATAGTCATACGATTTCAGGGGTTCTACTTCAAAACATATCTTCAGAACCCTGGTCAAGACTCCTAAATGAGAGATACAAAAAAATGGGAGTGGGTAATAGCAGGTTGGTGTTATCAAAACAAAAGATGTTGTATTAGTCCGTTTTTGTGTTGCTGTAACAAAATACCTGAGACTGAATAATTTATAAAGAGCAGAGATTTATTTGGCTTACGATTCTGGGACAGCTGCATCCGGTGCAGCCCTCAGGCTGTTTCTATCCACGGTGGAAAGTTGCAGGCAGCTGGAGGGTACAAGAAGCTCACATAGAGAGAGAAGGCAAGAGAGACAAAGGGGAGGTACCAGGGTCTTCTTAAGCAGCCAGCTTTTGTGGGAACTAATAGAGGGAGAACTCACTAACTACCCACCCCCCAGGGCAAGCATTAATCTGTTCATGAGGTATCCGCCTCCCTGACTCATACAGCTCCCAACACTGCCACATTAGGGATCAGATTTCCACATGAGTTCTGGGAGGACAACACATCTAAACTCCATCAGATCTTAATAAGTATATGTGAATGGGCAAGATGTTACACACATTTCATTTTAGAGGATCTGATTACCATAACCAGAGCTACCAAATTTATTGTAAATGGTTTTCAGGAGCCAAAATATAATAATGATAATAATGGTAATGATGGGGCCGGCCCGGTGGCGCAGTGCTGTAGTGCGCCGCTTGGGAAGTGCGGCCGTGCTCCCGCCCGAGGGTTCGGATCCCACATACAGACCGGTTCCCGCTCACTGGCTGAGCGAGGCACGGGAGCAACACCGAGGGTTGTGATCCCGTTGCCGGTCCTGGTCCGGTACGGGGGCGACACTGAGGGTTGTGATCCGTTGCCGGACACGGAAAAAGACAAAAAGGAAAAAAAAAATAATGGTAATGATGAATTAGAAATTATAACAACATATTCAAAGCCACTGTGGAGATAACTGTACTACAATGTTCATTTTGTACTGCCCAACGGAAAAGCAAAGAGATTACTGACAAGCAGGACATGAATCAACTATTTGGGCAAAGTTTTAAACAAGGGATATATTTATAGTACTAACATGACAGATTATGGAGACAGCAGGATTTGGTGATTGGCTACAAAATTAATGGGAAATATTTTTAGCAAATTATAATAGAACATAAATGTTGAAGTTTTCTTTTTAATGTTTAATTAGGTATTCAATTGACAGAAACACAGACTTGGAGAGATACTTCAATATTGATGCCAACAGTGGAGTTATTACAACTGCCAAATCTTTGGATCGAGAGACAAATGCTGTTCATAATATCACAGTCCTTGCAATGGAGAGTCGTAAGTTGTAACATTTAAAATTAAATTAGGGTAGAGGATGGTGAGGATAGAGAACAGGTTGTCATGAGGTTGTAACTTCAACCTGATCTATAATAGTTGCTTATTTGAACTGAATAAAAACTTGAAAAATCCCGATTTTTCAAGCTGTAAAATATATTTGCATTCGCTAGCTTTATTTGTTAATATTTACAAAATTAATGAAAAGAAAGGACTATAAAATAATGGGTCAGAATTACTTTCAGAGGTCTTCTTATTTTCTGATCACAATTCATTTATTGCATTTATGCTGATAGGGAGTTGGTGAAATAGCTTACAATAATTAGTAAATTGATCTCTAACCAAGACATCCAGATTTGAATATTCTGATATGGATATAATTTTAGTCCCTCATAAGAAAACCATCGAAAAAATGTATAATTATAATCATTCATGCATAGTATATATTGTATAATATATATGCATGAATAATACATGTGTTTATAATATCAAAGCATATTCATATAAATATGGGCTCTAGTGTCAAAGAACATTGAAATGCATGGTTTAGTGTTCATTCTTTCAACAACTTTCTTCTGAAGGAGTAAAGAAGGTACACACATGTGTATATCACATGTACATATATGCACACACACCACATATGCACATACATATATATGACATATATGTACATACTGCATACACAAATACATAAATAAATGCATGCATATATACATATATATGTTTGGATCAGATTATCTGTAGCTTTATTTAAAGGATACAGTGTTATGATTCTGGATTTCATTCAAGGCTTGGTCATTTTATTATTAGAATTGTGCTTTAGAAAGGCAAACATTTTTGGCTGATTCTAACTGCTTTCAATATGAGTTTCCTGAGTAAAATGGCAGCAGCATAAAAACCTTGCTATCGGAATAAATAAGACATTTTCTTATTTGTTAGAGAATCCATCTCAAGTAGGAAGAGGTTATGTGGCCGTCACTATTCTTGACATTAATGACAACGCCCCCGAGTTTGCCATGGAATATGAGACCACCGTCTGTGAAAATTCCCAGCCAGGGCAGGTAAGAGTCTTCACCACACCTTGCTCCTAGTGATTTCTTTGAAAATATGCAGCAGCATTTGCCTTTGAAATTTTTCTAGCTTTAAGATTAAATGTGATTTGCTTGTCTCAGCAAAACCAACACTTTGATGTGTAGCATAAACTAATATTAAAGAAACCTTCAAATTCTGGTTTAATTGGGGTGATAAAAATTCCTCAGGAAGAAAAGGTAAACATTGTAAAAGCCCTGTTAAATGGTTAAGGGCTCAGACTCCTTTAAAGAGAAATACAGCATATTAAGCTTGATTGAGCTGTTTCCCACATTGCACAGCAGAGTTTAAGCACCTTGAAGTTCTAAGAGTTCAGTTCAGCTCAATTTGAATTTGGTTTGTTCATTTATATTGTTCACTGTCTTGTGATGTTTACTAGAATGTCTAATCAATTGGCACAGCTTATTTCTGAGGTTCACAAAAGTAAATTCAAACATAATCTTTGAAAACATGATTTGTTTTTCAGAGCACTTTTTTAGATTGGGTTCATAGTAACATCTGATCCTTTCCCCCTGTTGATTTAGAAAGATAGTATTTATTATAAGGTGTAAAATTGCTCTGTCCTGCCTCAGAAAATGGCAGAGCACACCCATATACTTTCATGTTTTACATTCTCTATTTCTAGGTTATCCAGAAAATCAGTGCTATTGATAAAGATGAGCCATCCAATGGACACCAGTTTTACTTCAGCTTAACAACGGATGCAACAAATAACCACAACTTTTCATTGAAAGACAATAAAGGTAAGGTATTGTTATTGTAACTGGTGGAGGCAGTAGGTACGGACTCTCTAAGCAAGTATTCTTTCTCCCTCAGGAATGCTGATTATGGATTTATTTTGTAACAGCAAAGACATTAATTAAAAGGCAATGGGCCCCTCAAGTAATTTTTAACTATGGATTTGCTGTCATGAAAGAGAAGCTGCTATTTAAATCATTTTAGGCCTAAAGCCAAATAGTAGGAAAAGTTAGATCTGTCTCCCCCTTTCTTGTTTCTCTTCTTCTAGACACTTGCTTCCTTACTTGTATACAAAGTTCCTTATTCAAATGACCTAATATTTTGAGGGCCAGCTAAATGCCTTAATAAGGACTATGCTACAGAGATACAGCTCGAGACATCAGGAAAATAATTGAACTTTGTACATTTCAACTTAAATCAACTTTGATTTAATATTTTCAATAATGGCATGTTATTCATTTATTTTTACATAAAAATAAAGTATTTTATGCAAATTATAACATATTATTAATATAAAATTAAAAATGTAAAATAGGAAAGAACAAAAAATCTCCCTCTCACACCAAATTGCATTTCTCTTCTTCAAAGGGAAACACTCTTAGCAGTTTCATAAGTGTCATTATAGAAACATTTTTAAAAATACCTACATATAAATTCTGGTTTGGCTTAATAATATGTATTGATAATTATAAATACTTTTAAAGAAAACTTTAGAACTTTCTATTATCTAGTTTCGAATTTATATATTTGAACAGGTTTTTATCCAAGATACTTATTTTAGTAGAAGGAGAGAATTTGAAACTGATATAAAGGAAGAATAATATTCCCGAACAATATGAAAATGTAATTCTTTCTTTCATTTAAGTTGATTGTGTGAACTGAGTTTCAGAAAAAGAAAAAAAGGAAAAGAAAAAGAAAAAAAAAAGCTAGTCAAATATTGTCTTATCAACGAAGTCTTCCTTTCAGAAGATGAATATTATGAGGATTTTTGCCTGAGGCTATTACCTTTTTTAATGCAGAAAATCCAACTTTGGTCTCAAAAATTCAATCTGAAAATAATATTTTTTCCCGATCCCATTTTCCGCTTAATGAGAACGCTGTCTTGTCTCTTTAGTAATATAAAGGAAAGAGCGTCCTCTATGTGGGTCATCCCAAACTCTCTGACTTAATCATAGTTGGAAAGGATAATTCTTACCACTTAGATTCATCCAAAAATGCAGACAGGGGAGTTTGTGACCTTCACAAGAAAAATGTGAATACATATCACCAGAATGTCATCATCCAATGACACCATGATTGCTATATAGCACATGAACTAAAATGTTTGGATTTACAGCTCATCTATGCTCCCACACAAGTAAAAATTTCCAAAGTGCATCAAGCCCATAGATTCCTAGCCTGTAGTTTGAAGGAAAACATACCAATAGGGAGAAATTCAATTCTTATGTTGTCTTCTGCGTTAGGGAGCAAATAAAGAATATTATGAATTTTGTTATTTCTTTCCTAAACATAGGGGTCCTTCTCACATGCTGGGCACTTTGGTTTGTGCTCCCCAATTCAGAAAGTGTGTGTGTGTGTGTGTGTGATTTTGATGTCAGTCATGTTAGATTAGAAATCAACAACTTTGTGAGACACTTGTATCAAATCATCAATGCATACAACATCTGAGTTGGTGGGGGGCAAAGGCATTGACCTGTGTGTTATTGTTCAAGCATACAGGAACACACTCTAGACAATATCCTTAAACAACTCTGTGCTTAGTTTTTCAGTGAGAACCTTCTCAAATTCATACATGTTAACATAAAAGATTTGTGTACCTAAAGTCTTACCAGATGGAATCTGAAAATCAAAGTTTTATTCCTGTCTCCTTTATAATTGCACGTAATACGTCTTCTGCAGTCTAATGTGAGATTGCTCTTTTGTGCTGATTGAGACAGGACAGATTTCAATTGTTCTTTCATTAGAGTATTATTAATTCTTTCATGCTAACGTTGGTTAAATATCTTTTGACAATTTGTAAGGGAGATACATATAAAAGCACACTGGCTAATACTATGGTTCTGATATTCCTTATTTTTCTTTATATTTTTTAAAAATTATATTTGCTTTAATTGCAGCAATATTAATTGCTACAGATTTTAAGACTTCCATAAGTTCTCAAATCAGTAAATAAAGGCAAGTTATTTGTAAAAATTCAGAATAGCTAAAATCTATTCCTGATACAGAAATCGCAGATCACAGTTATGTTATATGGACTTATTTATCACTAAAATTTCCTATAATTACTTTAATTGTTTAGATAAAATAGAATATTGAATATAAATTAAAACACAAATGACCTATTTTATCACTGACAAAATGTTTATATACACTTGGTTTTGGTAACTATAAATACCTATATACACTATATAAAAACTATGCAATAACTTTTCTTCTGAATATCTATACATGCTTGGTTTAAATAAAGCCGGAGTAGTTTTTTTTATGTTTTTCTATATTGACCTTGGAACTTGTCAAAGAAAGAATGGATTGGAAATATCATCTGTGCTGTTTGATGATGCTGCAAAAATATTTAACCTATTTATTTTTACCATCCTCTCTATAAGGATGTGGCTTGAAATTTAAAGTAAGCAAAAGTGTATACTACATGTAGTTTTCACAATGTTACACTTAATGTATCAAGTGATTCATAAATATTTTCATATTCAGTTTTACTTTTTAACTATTTCTTTGGCTATAACTGAATAGAATAACATAAATATCTTAAAATGTACCTCTATTGAAAGGAACTTAAAGAGAATTGTTGAATAAGAAAGGTCTGTGACTCCATAGCTTTTTCCCTCATTAAGAAATAGAAAAAACAGTGACTTAAAGTTTGGAAAGACTGATTTCATCAGAAATCCTGTGTTACACATCTGCTTTCTTTATCCTAGACAACACAGCCTCAATACTAACCAGGAGAAATGGCTTCCGGAGACAGGAGCAATCTGTTTACTATCTGCCTATTTTCATTGTGGACAGCGGGTCTCCTTCACTTAGCAGCACCAATACCCTCACCATCCGAGTCTGTGACTGTGATGCAGATGGCATAGCCCAGACCTGCAACGCAGAGGCCTATGTCTTACCTGCTGGCCTCAGTACAGGAGCCCTGATAGCAATACTTGCCTGTGTCTTGACATTGCTAGGTAGGTACTGTTTCTAGTGCTTGCTCTATAAGAGCAGTTGTAAAAATAACCATTTATTTTTGGGGGAACATCTGCAAATATTCTACTGAATTTGTTTTGCTGACTGAGTAACACTGTTATCATTGGGCTCACATTCCAGTGGTGTATTTAAAGTGTAACAAGACAAAACAAAACATCAATTTTATTTGCAAACCATCAGTAACGATAAATGGCTTATACTTAAGATTGAGATTTTTTAAAAATTTACCTTATTCTAGCTCTTTGCTTTAGAATACTCCCCAGAGGAGATATGCTAAACTAGAGAGAAAGTTTTCTATATTGCTTTGATATGCTTATTTTAAAAACTATGCCTTTGTATCCTGCCCTTTTTTCAGAAAATGTTCAAGGTAGCACTCTTAAATTATTTGCAAATTTTAAAAGATTATAATTCAACAATGCAAACATTGTAATCTCCTAAGAAGTATTAAAATATTTAATTGTACTTTTCCATGATTACTTTATTATTTGGTTAAATTAGATTTGTAGCTCAAATTAGAATTAAAGTTTTGTAAGAGATTTTGCAGTATCTTTTTAAAAATTGGGAGACATCCAACGGTGGCCATTGGGTAATGGGTTTATTCCAAAGCAACATTTTCCTTCACTGTGTACCTTCCTGTAACAAGGACAACAAGAACTTAATATTGTACCTGAGACTGTGCTATGTGTTTTCTTGGGATTTAATAGAACTAGTAAAACAATTTATGACATATTTTTATAAAAGCAGCACTTACAATGGGAGTCAGCATTGTATAATGTTTAAAAACTAGATTTGTGGAGTTAGGTAAACCTAGCTTTTATTTTTGCTCCAACACACACTAGTTATTCACAAGGGGAATGTTAATTTCTCTATAGATGGCTTCTTACTCTAAAAGGAGAAGGTAATAGAACTAGCCTCATAAGTTGCTGTGAAAATTAAGTGAGATCATTCATGTAATGAACAAAATGCCTATCATATAGTGAGCATCCAGTGAATTTTGTGTTATTGATGAGGCAAAAATTGTCACTCTATTAACCAAGCTAATGCCTAGTTACATACTAATACATTGTAAATGATCTCATAAAAAGAATGTTATTATCTTCAATAACTTCAGCTAACCAAATAAATCTAGAAGGGAATAATTAAACTATTTTTCATGTATGAGGATACTTCAGAAGGTTCATGGAAAAATAGAATTAAAAGATAATACAAATTTTTCCATGAAATTTTTAAAATACTCTTATAACTTTACACAGGTAGTAAAAACATTCAGAAACTCATTAGACATGGCAAGTAATAACCGATTAAGTCTGAATAGAAAATAAAGGACTTTAGTAAATTTTGAAAAAGGTGGAGCCAAAGCAAACAACTTTTTATTGCTCTACTGGGCTCCAAAATATAATAATAATAATGTAAATTGTATGTTTATTATATAGTAGCAGAATAACCTACACACAAAAATTTTTTTAAAAATTCTCTTTATACTTAAAATGGCAATGTCTTTAGCTTGAAAACACAGAGTGAGAAAAAACAAAGGGGATGGGCAGACAGTGTATGGATATCTTTTAAAACTTAATTCAACCAGTTTATCACAAATAACTCAGATTGGACAGTACTTAAATGTGATAAGATAAAACTGTATTCCCCAAATTTTAATTATCATCAATAGTTATTTACTTTTTTTTTTTTGAGGCTGTCTGATGAAGCTTGCTTTACTTTTAGTAAACACTTTTACCTGGGATTTTGGGGGGTTCCTACAATTTAATTTTTTGACGATCCAAATTAGTTAAGAACCGTCAGCTAACTATTACCAAAGATAAATGAAATGGAGTTTTATTAGAAATTTTTCTTGGATATAATATATATATGAGTATGTGTGAATGAATGTGTGTGTATATAAATAAAGGTTTTTAAAAGATTTTTGCCAAAATTTAGATAACTATGACTTCTCTTGCTTTTAAATCTGAACATATTGCCCAAGTAGACACCGAATTAGGAATGCCTCTTCTACTTCTAAAAATCAGGATTTATGCCCTATATTTTATTCATTTTTTAAATGTTTCTGCAAGTCTATAAAAATATAAGTCAAAACAGAGCCTTATTGTACTGAAATGCATTTTGAAACCAGGAGCTTCTGCTTGCACCCTCCATTTCCTCGTGAGTCTGCACTTAATCAGTATCTTTAAATGCTACATCTCAGCTCAGAATTGCGGTCTCTCTGTCTTATTTTCTAAGTCTTTAGAAGCATATAGTCAGGAATTTGTATACTCTTTTGGTTCTGCCTCCACTATTACTGACTCTGGATTTTCACAGAATAGATGCTGCAGCCAAAGATATTGTGTATTCACAGGGGGTGTGGATGAGGTACACAGCTTGGTGTGGAACTTGACTTCTATTGCACAAATGACACAGTCTTTACAACACTTCGAAAAGCGGTATAAATCTTGTTTGTAGACATTAGGTATCAGAATTTGTAACTAAAACCTTTTCAGACTTCTGAACAAATATTCCTAGAAAAAGGCAAGCTAAGGAGGTGGGAATGGGGAGAAGAAATTGAGAATCAATTTCAATTAAGGATGACACTAAAGAAGCAATTGGGCTTTGGACTCTTACAGAAAGCATACTTTACTACGTGTTAAGTTTGTGTTCCAGTGATGTGACAGATTAAAGATACTTGCAATAAGACAGAAAAAGAATGTTAACGCTGGAAGGCATCCCCAAAATAGATTGTAGCCCAAACTTCTGCATTGTACAGCATGGTAAATTGAGGTACACTTAAGTTCAAGGATTTGCAGGAGATCATATATTACTGGCCAAGATGAGGTAAGATTTTAGGTCTCATTATTTTCAGTTATTGTTTTTGGGTTACACCACAAAGGAAATACACCTTGAAAATATAAAATATTTGTTACTCAAATATAATCCTTTCTTAGGATTTGAAATTCATGTTTTCTTAGGTTAGATTTGTCTGTTTTCACCTCTATCTGAATTCCTCTAACTTTATGGATGAACTTTTTTCTGATTTCTCTCTCATTCTTAGTCTTGCTCTCATCTCTCTAATTTATTTGTACCTGAATTCTCTAAATGAAAGAGATAATTCAAAATTAGAACATGGTGTTTCCTTTCTTTACACTGAGTACAACTTGAATGGGAGACATTATTGCCATATTTAAAAGTTATGATAAAGTAATCAATAAAGGTACCTTAATTATTTTTCATGCAGTAAAATTTCATTACTATATGGCGAGATGCTCCAGTATTCTAAAGCTTGAATACAAATTGTGTTCCATGATTAACACCAACACCGATTTTAAACATTACTCATTTTAAACATAGTTAAATTCATGTTCGTTGACATATACAGTCATTTTTCCACAAAGCTAAAAGTACTTACTTTAAAGAAAAAAATTCTATAAAGAACTGATACTTATTTCAGTATATTTTTATAAAATAGAATTTCAGCTGTTTTGCTTTCAAATATGGTTTCAATATTAAATATTACACATGTATTTAGAGAATATTGTGGCTAGATTCTTTCTGTTTCTCTGCACAAAGAAGCTTTTTCCTACGCACAAAAGCTGCCACTGAATTCACTATATTAAGTTTTGTTTTTTCCTTACTTGGACCCTGAAGTTCAAGTAATTGAAGTCCTGTAGCATTCCTTCAAGCTCTATTCTTCAGACACATTTGGGATTACTTAGACTGGTCCAGCTTCATAAACTCAGATTTAATAAGGTGTTTGTAGAAACTCACTGTTCACTGCATGGAATTCAAGCTCTTCTAGTGATGTCTAGGGTGTCCAACTTGACACTTAGCTGTCATGTTTCTTGCCATTTTTCTTCCCTGACCTACCAAGTACTAACCTACTATGTTTGGCACTGTTACTGTGGATCCTCATGAATTTGTTCAACAAAAAAAAAACTTTCCTGGTTTTGTAAGTGATAGTAAATATTACTGAGGTAAAATATATTAAATCACTGAGAAAAAAATGGTAGCACTATGCAAAAAATTTATCCCCATTATAATCTATAACTACAGAACACAATCTACATAACAGTAGTCCTAGAGATAATAACAGGCAGACTACGGTTGGCTAAGTTATGGTAGCAGATGTGTTCCTCTTTCAAGCAAGCATGGGCATACTCAAAAATGAATTACATTTCATAAGCTCATACTATATGCTATACATTAGCCTAAGTGCTTTAATTTAATTCTCAAAACAGATTTCCTAGGCAAGTTTTTTTTTTATTATATCCACTTTATATATGAGAAAACTACAGCTTAAAGGAAATATGCACAAAGTTATAGGGTAAATGAGTGTCAGAGTCAAGACAGAAACACAGGAATAGCTGCCACTAGAATGCTCTTTATAAGGTATTTTTCCATATGTGTTTTCCAATATGAAAGACTCCTCTGTCTCTAAGAAATACCTATAGGTCTGTGGGTATCTCAGTGAAGGCTCTGCCAAATTAGAGGCAGCAGAATCCTGGATCTGTTTCACATGACAGCTTTATCATTTCTTTGGTTAATTCTGTGTCCAATTCATCCTCCAATTACTTCTAAACCTGAGAGAATCATTTAGAATTTTGCATGTTATATTTCAGTACAACCAACATATCATGCACAAATTGTGTTTGTGCATAAAATATTCTTTGTACTTAGGATAGATTTTTTTTTCCTTGTCTTAACTGAGACTCAAATAAAATCATTCTTACTCTCACATTTTAAAGGAGAAGAACTTTGTGATAAGTTTCCCCTGTTTTGGGAAAAGAAAACATCTATTTCAATGGTAATTAAACATTTCTATCTGGAGAAATGCGAAGAATTTTCTCCTTTGTGCACATGATTTTCAAATCTCTGGATAGATAGTGGGTCTGTCTGTATTCCTTACTCTATTGGATAGCTGAAACTAGAAAATTTCAATAGAAATATCAAATCCTGAACAGTTTTCCTTTGCTCCTGCCTCTTTTCCTGACTTAGTCTT